TACAAATATGCCCCATTGCCAGTGACAGATTGTTCTGCAACTAAATAAATTTATACTTCCACCAGCAACACATGAGTACCTTAATTTAGATCCTCATCAAAGCTTGGAATCATCAGCCCTGGCCAGTTTTGCTCAATGGATAGAGTGTTGCCCCACAGACTGAAGGGTCCCTGGTTGGATTCTAGTTAAGGGCATGTACCTCAGTTGCAAGCTCGATCCCAGAGGCAACTAATTGATGTGTCTTTCTCACATCAATGTTTCTCTTTCTCTGACTCTCCCTTTCCCTTCCACTTTCCCTAAAAATCAATGGAAAAAATCCTCTAGTGAGGATTAACAAAACAAACAAACAAACAAACAACTGGAATAATTAGACTTCCTAATTCCAGCCAGTGAAATGTGTGTAAAATTGTTTCTTATTGGGGGTCCTAAATTTGCATTTTTCTATTACCAATAGGGTTGAGAATATTTTTATGTGTTTATGCACCACTAAGGTTTTTCTTCTGTACTATACTTACTCATGTCTTTTTTTTTTTTTTTTTTTTGAGTGGAAGGGAGGGAGAGAGAGAGAGAAACACTGATGTAAGAGAGATGCATCCATTAGTTGCCTCTCACACAAGCCCCAACAAGGGATTGAGCCTGCAACTGAGGTATGTGCCCTCAACCAGAATTGAACTTGGGGTCCTTCAGTCCACAGGTTGGCACTCTAACCACTTAGCAAACTGGCCAGGGCCTTGTCATTTATTTTTCTTGGTCTTTAAGGTTTTTTTTCTTTAAATGTATTTTATTGATTTTCTTCAGAGAGGAATAGAGAGGGATAGAGAGCCAGAAACATCAATGAGAGAGAAACACTGATCAGCTGCCTCCTGCACACCCTCCACTGAGGATGTGCCTGTAACCAAAGCACATGCCCCTGACAGGAATCGAACCCAGGACCCTCCAGTCCGCAGGCCAATACTCTATCCACTGAACCAAACTGGCAAGTGTGATTTTTAAGTTTTTGTCATGTAACTAGAGGCCCGGTGCATGAATTTGTGCATGGGTGTGTCCCTCTGGGTGGCCTGCAGGGATCAGGCCTAAACCCACAGTCCAACACTGCTTGCAGCTCCTAACTGTCACTCCTGCTCATCCCAGCCCCACTGTGCCTGCTGTGGGCTTTCACCTAATCAGTCCTGTTTGGGAGAAGCTCACGCTGCCACAGCAGTGCTCTCCAGCTACGAGCCCTGTGTCTGGTGCCCTCATAAGGGGAGTTGCCTGCAGGATCGGGTTGAAACCAGCTCTCTAACATCCCCCAGGGGTTCCTGGATTGTGAGATGGTGCAGGCCAGGCTGAAGGACTCCACTGGTGCATGATCCAGTGAGGGACCTCAGGAGGGCTCCAGGCATATCTAGCCATCTCACTCAGTCCCAATTGGCTGGACCTCAAGCAAGCTAACCTACCAGTCAGAGCATTTGCCCACTAGTGGTCAGTCACACATCATAATGACTAGTTGACCAGTTGATTGTCTGCCCCCTGGTGGTCGGTGCACGTCATAGCAAGCAGTTGAGCAGCCTTAGCATATCATTAACATACTACGCTTTGATTGGTTGTTCTGTTCTGCTGTTTGGTCTATTTGCATATTACCCTTTTATTATATAGGACTAGAGGCCCAGTGCATGAAATTTGTACACCTGGGGAGAGGTTCTCAGCCCGGTCAGCACTCTTTCCAATCTGGGACCCTTTGGGGGATGTCCATCCCTATGGTATCAGGCCTAAACCAGCAGTCAGATATCCTTCTTGCAATCCAGGATGACTGGCTCCTAACCACTTGCTGGCCCCTACCTTTCCCCCCTGCCGTCCTGATCACCTCTACTTTACCCCCTGCTGGCCTAATTGCCCCTACTTTGCCCCCCTGCTTGTCTGATCACCCTTAACCTCTCTGCCTGCCTGCCTGCCTGATTGCCCCTAACTGCCTCTGCCTCTGCCTCTGCCTCTGCCTGACTACCTGATCAACCCTAACTGCCTCTGCCTCAGCCCCCACTACCATGTCTTTGTCTGGAAGGAAGTCAGATGTCTAAAAGATGGCTGGTTGACCCAGTCGAATTAGCATATTACCCTTTTATTAGTAAAGATATACTAGGGGCCCAGTGCATGAAATTCGTGCACTGGGGGTGGGGGTTCTTCAGCTCAACCTGGCCCCTCTCACATACTGGGAGCCCTTAGGGGATGTCCTACTAATGGTTTAGGCTCACACCCCATTGGGAGCGGGTCTAAGCCGCAGACTGGCCTCCATTTGTGGGATGTGACTGGGCTGATCAGGGGAAGGCACCAATGCCATCAACCCCACTGCTGAAGCCACTGCCAGTCACCATAGCCACCAAAGTGTTTTCATCAACACAGACAATAGTCCCTTCACCAAGAAAAAATAACTTTCTTTAGGCGTTTTTAAGATGTTTCTTTCATAGAATATGCATTTCTTTCTTTTTAAATATTTTTTTTGTCTTCACCTGAGGATATGTTTCCATTGACTTTTAGAGAATGTGGAAGAGAAAGGAAAAGACAGAGAGCAACATCAAAGTGAGAGGAACACTTTGATTGGTTGCCTCCTGCATGAGCACTGATCTGGGCCCCTGCCAGGGAGGAGCCTGCAACCTAGGTACATGCCCTTGATCAGAATTGAACCCAGACCCTGCTGTCTGCAGGCCAAGGCATTATCCACTGAGTCAAACCGGCTAGGGCAGGATATGAAACTTCTTAGCCCTCCAGCAGCAGACCTTCTTTTTTTTTTCTCCAGAAGTGTGGTGGAAAACCCTACGTCACCTTTTTGGATTCTTATTACCCAAGTATATAATATTGAATATTATTACTAAGAATATTACTGGTGGCATACAGAAAGCTTAGCCAATGTGCAGTCAGAAAAGGTGTTTCCTCTATAGTTTACACCAATCGAGGGCTGGGCCCTACCCAGGCCTAAAGCCTCTGGCCGAAGCTTTAGTCCTAGGCAGGGCCCCTCTAGCTCCCTCTGATCACCGCTCAGCCCCTACCCAGGCCTGCTCAGGCCGAAAGCCTTTTGGGCAGGAGCAGAGCCCCAGCTCCCTGCGATCAGTCGCAGGGGGTCCACTCCTGTCCAGGCCAAAAGCAGTCCCCCAGCGCCCTGCCCAGGCGATCGATCACAGGGGGTCCACTCCTGCCCAGGCCTTACCTCACAGTGACCTGGGTGCTAGGATGTTCCTGGTACACAAGCCCTGGGCCCTATTTATGCAAATTAACTGCCATCTTTTTTAGATAAATTTGCATAGTCTCTATGATTGGCTATAGGTGTAGCAAAGGTACGGTCAATTTACATGTTTGTTATTAGGTATGATTATATAGGATAGGATTGCTTAAAGGGGGCAAGACCCTTTTTTCAGCAGAAGGAGATGCTCTTGGCAGACAAAAATACATAATTCCTATATCTGGACTGATAGCCAGCCATATGCACTATACTGCCAAACAGTCACTAAAAAATTGAATCATTTCTTACACCTTACACCAAACAGCTATTGCTCTTAAAACCCCTCCTCAGCCCTCCATTTTGGGTTCAGCCTTCACAGTTCACCCAGATTTGGTTCTGATTGGACAGCTTCTATTCCAGTCAGCATCAAAAGCTCCACCTCCTAGGCAGCCATTGGCTCCTCGCACTTCCCCAGATTGGTTCTGATTGGTTGGTTTCTAAGCAAGTCAGCATAAAAAGTTCTGCCTCTTAGGCAATCATTGGCTCCTTGCAGTTTACCCAGATTTGGTTCTGATTGGTTGGTTTCTATGCCAGTCGCTGTCTCTGTGCCTATCTCCAGGCCTGATCATAAAAGAGGGCTGATTAGCAGCTGCCCCAGGCGGCTGGTGAGCAGGCTGAACTGCTGACCTCTGGGAAAGAGAGAGAGGTTTGGTTGCTGGCGAGGCCCAGGTTTGGGCCTCACCAGCAGCCTCTGCCACTGCTGATGAGCCTCGCCTCTTCTCTCTCTCCAAGAAGTCAGCGGTTCAGCCTGCTTGCCTGCTGCTCATGCAGCCTGGCATTTGGTCGAGCCTCCAGTCATTGTGGATATTAAGACTGGGGCTCTCTCTCTCTCTAGATAACTATACATATAACACAGTATATTTAGCAGGTATACTTTGTTAGGTATAACAACAGACTGAACACTTCCAATATTATTTGTAGCAGAGGTGATGTATTAAAAGCTCTAGATGAGCAAAATTTAATATGCTCAGGAGGGTTAGAATCTGTATCTCAGTGTATTTAAAGAATTATGGAAAAGATTAGGCTATGTAATTAAATGTGTTTATTTTAAAGGGGTTTTTAACTATTATTTCCTTTTCTAATAGTGAATCATCTACAGTATAGTTTGAAGTTAGTATTTAGCCTTTTACAACCATATTTCTTCAGTAGCAGAAATAAGAATAAAAAATGTGTGTGCATTTCTTAATATACATAAACACAATTCAGAAAAACAACCTCTTTTTTAAATAATATCACCCTTACTCAGATGACTCTAATTTGAGGAATATCTTTTTTAATTATATACCTTTAACAGAAACATTAGCTTAACAATAACCCACAACTTTCGGACCAACTCCTTTAACAGAAACATTAACTGCAGATCTGATTTCACTCACTTGGTGAGAATTTATTGTTGCTTATTTTGTACTAAGCACTGGTCTAGGCTCTGGGGGTACAGTGGGGGGCAAAACAAAGCAACGTGCCTTACACTGAAGCTTACATCCTAGTGGGGAGACAGACACTCAGCCATGGCCACAGAAAACGCTGCAAAGAAGTGGTAAGTTCTAAGCGGAGTAGGTGAGGGATGGTGGTCCGAAGGGAAGGCTCGCTGACCCGGATGGAGTGAGGAGTGAGCCATCCAGGAACCTGGGGAAGCAATATTGGTAACAGAGAGCAGACAGTGGCTTTGAGCTGGACTGTGCTTGGAATATTTACAGATAAACTTTAGTATGACACTAAACCTATCCTTGTTCACACTACTATTTTTCAGGTATCCGAGATGTTTCTAAATGGAGTGAGAAAACAAAAAAGCCTCTAGAAACCCTATATGGGTATGACTACTTGGCAAAAACTTGTGAAAAGTGGGTGGATGGCATAAAACAGTTTAAACATCTTCCGGATGGTAGGTTACATGAACTATTTAATGGTTTCTTTGCTGACTATAGAGTTGGCCTGAGTTCCTCCCTGATGTTCCAGAATCCCTCAAGGATGAATGCATTCGCCCATGACACTCACACACTGGCATAGGAACAGAGGGTACTAGTGACTGTGTACATGAAGTGGGTATTAAATCCACTTCAGCTAGACAGAGTGTCTAGTATAAAAGTCTTTAATAGCAGACTGTTCTTTCTTCCTCAAAATAATTATCCAGAAGCCTCCAAGAGTCTTTATTTTCTAACTTCAGAACGAGGAATTGGAAAACAAACAAACTGCAGCATATGCCACGTTTTTTCTCTTTGCCCATTTATTTATTTTTTAAAATATATTTTATTGATTTTTTTTTACAGAGAGAAAGGAAGAGAGATAGAGAGTTAGAAACATCGATGAGAGGGAAACATTGATCAGCTGCCTCTTGCACACCCCTACTGCGGATGTGCCCGCAACCAAGGTACATGCCCTTCACCGGGATCGAACCTGGGACCTTTCAGTCCACAGGCTCTATCCTCTGAGTCAAATCGGTTTCGGCTGCCCATTTAGATGAGCTACCCCAGGACAAAGAAGGAGGGACTTTCTGGCCTGACCTTCAGCCTCTACAGAATTAGCATGAGGAAGAGTATTCACGTCTTCTCCCATCTTTAGAACTAAGTTATACGACTTTAGCCCTAATCAATGTCTTCCTGTCTTTATCTGAAAATCAGTGATTTCCAATTACAGTAAGAATTGACATCTTTAAGAGACATTCTTAATTAAAGTGTTTTGTATAGATATTTACATTATTAATCTCGTGTTGTTTTTTTAATTGCTGAAAAAATAGAGAATAGCTAAGATCTAATCTTGGAGAACATTCAGTACAAAATCATTGTGATGAAGGGCCAATTTGATCTCTTAAGTAATAATTTCCAGAATGAGTCATCTGTCAAAACTTTCACAATGAAAAGTACATTTGAAAGTGTAACTTTCTTGGCTTGAGTTCAAAACAGTATCTCCTGTTTGAAAGTAGAATCCACTCACAGAAGCAGGTCCTTGAAATCCATTTCCCCAGCTCTGACAGCAAACAAACAAAGGCTGTACAACAATGTCTGAGAGTGTTCTCCACTACAGAAGGCGACTTTGTGACATGCAGACTTCTATGCTTTCTTGAAGAGAGTAGTGAGCAGGTAGGATTTCTCAAAGGTAGAAGCAGAATTAAATGAGCAGTTCAAACATATGTCCTGTATATGTTAAAATTAAGAACTGCTGCTCAGCAAGAGGTACTGTCAGAAAATGAAAGGACAGGCCACAGACTGGGAGGAAATATGTGCGAAAGACCCATGTGCAAAAGAACTACCCAAAATCTACAAAGAACTCTTAAAAGTGAACAATAAGAAAACAATCTAATTAAAAACTGGGCCAAACAACAATGTGGTCCCCTATTCTCTTATTAGAACGGCCACCAGAGGGATTCTGGGACAGTGCAAATGCTCTGTGTGCTACTGTACTGGACATGCCCTTATACATTTATCCACACCATAGTTTGTCCAACACCAAGTGTGAGCCCTAAGGAAAACTGTGGACTTTGGGTGAAAATGGTATGTCAGTGGAGGCTCATTCACTTAAAAATGTATCACTCAGGCCATGTGTGAAGGCAGGGGTGTTGTGGGGAATTCTCTATCCCTTCCCCTCAGTTTTTCTGTAAACCTAAAACCCTAAAAAGTAAAGTCTCTTGTTAAAAAAGAAAAAGGGAGTGAAAAAATGTCATAATATGGAGGATCTAGCAGTGTTATCAATCATCTTATGGCAAGATTGTTAATAAACTACACATCCACCTTCTGTACTAATTTGTCAAGAGCCCTTCTTTATGGTTGTAAACTCAAGTTTATGGATGCTCAGAATAGCATAGGGATTAATGGCACAGATTTGGAGTTAGGCCCGATTGTGAATTCTGGTTTTGCCGCTTGGCTTGCTGTTAGAATGGATGCCGGCAGATCACTTCGCTTCTCTAAGCTGCAGCTTCCTGTCTGAGAACTGGAGACACCAGTGACTGCCTCCTGCAGTTGTTGTGAGGACTGAATGAGTTATGTATGTTCAGCTTTGGTCATTCCCAAGTTCAGAGGAAGTGCTTAGTACAAGTACTTGATTTATAATCATACATACTAAATGAGTTAAAAGGCAACTACCATGTGTTTTGTGGGTATTAAATAATTTGAACAGTTCCTAACAGACAATGAGCACTCAGTAATAGCACTTTAATTATCTGAGTATACAGTTAGCAGGTGTGTGTCATCCCAAGGATAGGCGAGGAAGTGTCAGTGACCTAGAAAAGTATTTTGTGGTCCACCCTGACTGAGAGGAGGGGAGAGGCAGGTGTCCAGACAGCACCCCAGGCTGTTCCCTAGCTTCTGGGAGCCACAGAGCTTTCTGCTTGGCACATGCAGAGGAAGGAAAGAAGGAGGTGCTGGCTTTGTGGAACAACTGCTGGTGCCAGAAACCTGAGCTCTGGCTTCTCTTCCTGGCTCCTTGGCCACCAGGGAACTGGGGTTAATCCCTGTCTGATCAGAGGAGAAGGCTGAAGCTCAAAGTGGCTGAAGAGCCACTGAGACTACATTGGGGGGGGGGGGGGGGGAGAAGGAGGGGAGGTGCGGATGGACAGGGGCAGGAGCCCAGGCTGTGCCCTATTTGCCTCAGAAATGTTAAAAGTGGGAGTGAGGAGTTTATCATCTCCCAAAAGTCTGTCAGTCAGAATGCCCAAGGCTAGAGGGATGAGAGAAGCTGTGTAAATTGTAAGTTCACAGTGAAGTATATAGCCCTTGAGGGCTGACTGGGACCCCAAGGGCCACCTAAGCCATTGTTGCACAGCAGATTCTTTTCAGATGCCAAGCACCTACCACAGCTTTGCAAACTGGGAACTGTCTCTATGTAATAGAAAGAGTTGGTGTTTGTTTGTTTGTTTGTTTGAATGTTTTACATGGATGATGCATTTAAACTAAGCAAAACTGTTCACTCCTAGAGCTTTAAAAGAAAAGGAGACAAAAACAAAACAAAAAACCACCCAGCAGAGAAACAGAAAAGGAAACACAAAGAACATTAGAGCTGGAAGGCACCTCAGACCACTTCGAATTTAAACCACTGATTTACCGGCGGGACCCTGGGTCCTAAGAGAGGCGTGACTTGCTCAGCTTGCTTCCCCTACGCTTGTGGAGTGGTCGCACTAAAGCCGACTCTCGCGCATTTGTGTTTCAGGTAATATCTGTCGGCACTTGCTGCCCCTGGTTCAGTGCCCCACCTTAATCGTGCATGGAGAGAAGGACCCTCTAGTCCCGCGTTTTCATGCGGACTTCATCCACCAGCATGTGAGAGGGTCACGGTAAGTCCTATCTCCTCGTCAGCATCCGGTGCCTCGGGCTTCGGAGGAAGCCTACAGAGCACCCGGGAAACAGGAGCAGGAGTAGAGTCCTGGTTTGTAGGCAACCAGTACTCACCAGGAAGGGAATCTCAGGAAAAAGTCTTATTACTATGAAGGCAACTGTGCTGATGCATACCAAGTTCTGTACCACTGGTGATAGTTTAGGTTTAGAGCAATCATTGTGAACTAAAGCAATTTTATGCAATTTGGGAATTTTCAGGCTAGTTTATCATTATCATTACCCAATAAAGAAAATCAGTAAAATCAGAAGGAAATAAATCTCCTTTTGCTTGCCACTCAATTATTTCACATTAGCATTTTTGTTTCTCCTTTTTTTCCACATAGAAATAATCATATTCTATATTCAACTCTGATGCTGCTTTTTTCCCCCAGTTAAAATTATGTTGTAAATTTTTCATGTTATTTCAGCCTTAAATATGTACATACCAGACATAAACCTGTTATTCAGAATTATAAATACCAACATATGCCCAACCATGCTGGTGGTGTGCTTGGTTAGACAGCAGATAAATGTTGCTTGTCCTTTGCATTCTGGTTTCTCCCAACCGGCTTTGGGCTTTAGGAACGTTGTAAGCTATGTCAGCAAAAATTATGTTCTTCAGGTCCCTACATTTTTGTATAGAGTAAATAGAAATTTATATTTTATTTTATTTTATTTTATTATTATTATTATTTTTACCTGGGCACTGTTATGCTAACTGAAATAAGCCAGTCAGAGAAAGACAAGTATCATATGGTTTCACTTATATGTGGAATTTAATGAACAAACTGAATTACCAAGCAAAATAGAGACAGACTCATAAATAAAGAGTAGGCATATAGCTCTGGCAGAGAGTAGGTGAGGAGGAAGGATTGAGAGAAAAAAAAGAGAGAGAGAGAGAGAGAGAGGGAGAGGGAACTCATGGACATTGATGACAGTGTGGTGATTATGGGACTTGGTGGGTTGGGGAGGAGAAGGGGGTAGGTGAGGGCATAGAGGGGATAAATGGTGATGGAAAAATTAAAGAAAAATATTGAATTTGAAAAAAAGATGTAAAGTTATATTTTAAATACATTGGCTGGCACAGGAGCCAGCTTTTGCCAGTCAAAATCTAAGCCCACTCTGTCAAGATGAAAGTTCAAAGTGGAATAAACTCAGTATTTCCCTTATATGCAATGGATGCATGTCCTGAAGGAGAAAATGAGGTGTGACTACAAGATAGTTACCTAATTTTCTTTTTTAAAGCAAACATACTGGAAAATAAACATCCAATGAGCCTCCACCACTTCACAGACTATATGTAAATTTCAATGACACTGTCATTACTCAGGGCACCTTTGGGACTCTGGAATTTTTTGAAACTGGCTTTTATTAGCAGCCTAAAAAAATCCTTCCTTGCTCATTCACTCTCTCCTTTCATCCCTTTCTCCCTCCCTCCTTTGTTCCTTCCTCTCATTCTCTCTCCCGCTCTCCTTTCCCTACATGAGCCAACTTCTGATGCCTCCTGTGGGTCAACACTGCCCTGGGAGCTCCCACAGTTCAGGAGAGAAAGTGTCTCAGAAACCATTCCACTGCTTCCTAATCACACTATTCCATGCTGTATTTTAACAAACAGATTTCTCAGAGAACTGTTTTTGTTTTTGTGGGGGATTTTTTTGGAATCACATATGAGTGTTTATTCCAATATTGTCAGCAGTATGAGAGAGCAGCAGGTCAAAAATCTGCTCTGCAGCCCCCCATAAGCCAGCTGCTTATATAGGGTCAGACAGGGATTACATGGGGAAATAGGGGTTACAGGCAAAGGGAAGTAGGAGGCTGGGTGGGACTCCATTGTTTGGGCAAAAAAAGGTTGTTAATCTTTCCATGATAATAGGCAGTTCTTTTTTTTTTATTAAGATATTACATATGTGTCCTTATGGCCCCATTGCCCCACCCTTCACCCCCCATGCATGCCCTCACCCCCCTGTTATCTGTGTCCATTGGTTAGACTTGTATGCATGCATACAAGTCCTTTGGTTGGTTCTTGAATGAGAATGGTTCCAAGGTTGACTCCCAGGTCCTAGGGGCATACAAAGTCCAGCCAGGTCAGAATATCCTTTCTTTAAGGCAATCATAGTTAACAGAGCATGATTAATATTTCCCATAATCATAGCTATTCCCCAATATTCTATTTTTGCCTCTAACATTTCCCACTGCTATTTCTATCATCTCATATCTATCAGATTAATTTTAGATGAAAAGTCTCATCCTGCTGGACTGCATCTGCTTCTGCCTTGAAAGCAGTTCCCAAGAGAACTTTTAAATGTGAGGGCATGCTTCTTATGCTACAATAAGTAATTACCATAAGCCTGTATAATATCTATAGTTATATAGCATTTTATATTTTAAAATGCATTTTATATACAAAAATCTAATTATACTTTATAATTAACTTATGGAAAAGAAATATCATCCCCATTTTACACATAAGAATATCAAGTCTGAGATGCTAAGTAATTGTCCATGGTTGCATAGCCAATTAAAGACAAATTCTAGGTGGCTTTTCTCCTAATATAGTGGTTTCCCCCCGCAGCACAGGTGCCTCTCATAAACATACTCTTATTTTAATATGATGGCAAGATGGCTGGATTATATACTTGCCACTCTGGTTAATTGTTTTCTACCTTCGGAAATGACAGGGTTTTGGACTCTGACTCTCCCAGTAAATGCATGTGTTCCCTGGGACAGCAGCTTCAATAAGGTCAGTCTGCAAGGAAGTTCGATGTAGGAATTCTATTCCAGACCCGTGTCCTAACAGGATACATCAGTATGAGAGAAACATACCCCCTTACTGTTCAGGTGTTAATTGTTTCAGCAGACTATTTTATGGAAGATCACTTTTCTTAGAGCAACATTCTTTGGAGCAAATCCATTGAAGGTAAAGTGCTATTAACTGTGATTATCTAAAGCTAGCTTGCAGTTTACACCTACTCCCTTCCTCTGCCGAAACAGCCCTTGATGTTGGACATGAATTTTCCTAGGATGGATGTGGTTTATTTTGAACCCCATCAAAGGAAGGTGGATTCTTTGAGCACCAAAGTCATACTGTGGTTCTGAATACCGGGCCACTTGACAACAGGTGTAGCAACTCAGAGTGTAGCAAACTCCAGGGAACTCGGTATTTTATTACCTTGTCAGGTACTTTATAACTCAACTTAAAGGTACAGTCTGTCCTTTCAAAGATGTTACCAACAAATAAATATCAGATATGAAACCAATGCCTTTCTCTCCTCAGAAAGAGGTTAATGAAGGGTGGGGTTGTTCAGCAGGCCTGCGTCTTGCTCAGATTAATGTCTCTCTCTTTGCTTTCTTTGTGGGAGAACAGTGATAGAATCTCCTGGAAGCAACAAGGCTTTAGAGATCATTCAGGTTCGCCAGTTTTAAAATTTGTTTTTAGACAGTTGAACCCTTCCTCCCAACAAATCTTATGCATGAGTCCAATATAAAAACATAAAATAGAAGCTGGTCTGATCACAATAGTGGTGGGAAGCAGACCTGCCCCTTTGGTCCCCTGTCCTGCCCCAGTCCCTGTGTATCCCTGCTTGTCGGGCCCTCCCTCCGAGACAGGAAAGCACTGACACCGCTCACCACCTGTCTAGCTAGTCAGCCTCTGCTTTGGGCGTCTCCTGTTTCCAGACAGGCATCACCCATGAGGCCAGCCCCAGCTCGTTTTCAAAGAATTTGCATTGAGGAGAGGCTGGCATCAGACTCTTTGGAGTTGGGGTGATGGGCCCCAGGAAGCTTGTTGAACTGTGTGTGTCTGCTCATTATGTGTATTAGTCTGCCGGGGCTGCTACAACAAATGTCAAAGCCTGGGTGGGAGGCTTAGATACTAGAAGTTTATTTCCTCACAGTTCTGGAGGCTGGAAGTCTGAGATCAAAGTGTCAGTAGGGTTGGTTTCGAGGCCTCTCTCCATGGCATGTAGACGGCCATCTTCTCCCTGTGTCCTCACATGATCTTCCCTCTGTGCCTGTCTGTGTCTGATCTCCTTTACTTATAAGGACACCAGCCATATTAGTGTGGGCCCTAATGACCTCATTTTAACTTAATTATCTCTGTAAATACATATATCCAAATAAGGTTACACGGTGGTGGGGGTAAGGACTTCAACATACAAGTTTGGGAGGATGCAATTCAGTCCATAATTATCTGTTTCTGAGGAGATGCTTGGATCTTGGGAATTGGAGGCCAGCAAAGGTCAGGACTGAGACCTGGGTTTGAGACCCAGTTGCAAGTGACCAGTACTTTGCCTGGTCCTGCTCTAGCTCTCACCCCTTCTCTGCCTGGCCAAGTGTACTCATCCTTCAGTCTTCTCCTCTTCCTCCTCCACATCTCCAATTACTCATCTGCCTGAGGCCACTCAGCTTCTTATTCATACCTTTATACAGTGGTGAACATGTGAATTTCATTTTCCACCTGTTGAGCATGTCAACACCTATCCGAGGATGCAGTCTAGTACATTTTGAAAGAAAGAGAATGTGGGAGCAGCAGAGGCACATAGGGCCAAGCCTCTGTGGATGGCCATTGATCACCAACTGGTGACTCAGGGCCAAAAAGCATGGTATGGAGTCCAACTTAATGTTCTGGGCTGAGGCCAGAGCAGACGGGAAAGAATGAGGAGGAACATCCATGTGTGCCGAGTGGTGCCTGGAGCCAGTGTCGGCCAAAGGGGAGCAGTGAGGAATGGAGTCTTGCCAGGAGAGCAGACTGGGTATTTGGGATCCAGAGAAACACTCATAGCAGTGCTGGTGAGGAGCAGGAACTAAGGGAGGGAGGGAGTGCTGGCTCAGTCACTTACTTAGGCAGTGTACATTGATTTATGTTCCTGTTTCCTTATGAGTAAATCGAGGATGATATCATTCAAAATAGTTTTTGAGGAATGAGTGAATATTTTACAACGCAGAGTAGCTGCCACTCTTGTGGGTGGGAGGCTGGTGTAGGTGCAGGTGTTCAGGGGCTCCCGGAGACACCAGGAAATAGCTCCATAGCAGGTGAGAGGCAGGTTGCCCTCTGTCCCATGTTCAGCACCATTATTAGTCTAGGTGTGTGGGGGTGTGAGTTGGCTCACACAGTGGAGAGGCCAAGAAGCCAAGATCATCTGTCAGCAAGCTGGAGTGAGTGAGGAAGGTGGGGACCCGGGAGAGAAAAGGCGTGGTTCCAGCCTGACTCTGAAAGCCTGAGAAGCAGAAGAGCTGATGCTTCAGTCTGACTCTGAAGGTGTGAACAGCCAATAGCCCAGTTCAAAGACAGTTGGGCAGAAGCCTACTTTGATTTTCCATGAAAACAAAAATACAGACTTGCTAGAAACTCTATGGGTTCATAAATAATTTAGAATTTTATTACATCAACATGGAAAAAAATACTACAGCACATTATTTACAGTCTTGTTCCTATCTGTAGCTCTCAGAGCTTAATTTGAAAGCTGTAGAAGGTTGGGCTGAGGAAAGGATGGTAGATGGCAGCATCATTTCTCCTTTGCTACCTGGCTATGAAGAGTGAGATCCTAGAAGGACTGTATCAGACAGAAGTAAACTGACCACTGGGTTTATACTATGAGGTTAGACATTTTAATTTCTCCAAAGATCTGGAATCACATCTTTTTCTAAAAGTGCCAAATGCAATGAGGAACCTGTCCCAGGAAATGGGAACTCCTGGGTACTGTCTCAGAGGCCCGTCAACCCCAGCTGAACCGTGTGTTAGGTGGTGGGTATTTCCTCCTGATTTTCCTGAGGGATGTGGTCATTTGAAATACACTCCATGGAGCATGTAATTGGATCCTTTTGTTATTTGGGTGAGAACCTGCGCTTGCAGTGGAGTTGCTGCGTTGCCTGGACATCTCTGGCTACTGCCCGGCATGGTGCTGTTCCCAAAGAGGAGCAAACAGAGGCCTCAGGTCCCGGGACTTTGTGTCAGACCTCCAGGAAGCGTATTAAAGAACTTGAAATGACCCCCTAAAGGTCTCAAGGAGAAGAACAATTTTCTTCACAGCCTCACCTGTCCATCCATCCATCCATAATTCAGTGCAGTTCTGAATGTGGATGCCTCAGAACAGATCTCCCATAACCTTAATGGAGACTTGTTTTTATTTCCCCTAGACCTAGAGATTACTATAGGAAGAATGCACACAGCAATGAGGTGAAAGAGAAGGGATTCACTGCTAGTCTCTCTCCTCCCTCATTAGGAGTGAATGAATCACAGAAATGGGGAAGAATACATGATAATCAGCATGGCTATCCACAAGGGAGGACTTGCGAGTTGGGAAGATTCAGGTCTCTGCTTCTGAATCCAACTCTACACACATTAGAGGATGCAGTTTAGCCTAGACATGTCCTTCATGACCTTTTAGCATTCTTAGCAGCTGGTTCCTTCTGTCTCCTAAAAACAGGTCTTGAGCATCCCTACAAGCCCTTGTATGGGGCAACTGAGATACTATTATATCTTTGGGGTTGGGGCAGTTTGCCCTTTTTTACTGAACAGCATTAAAACTGAATTTGGAATGTTCTATTTACTGTGAATGGTCTTAACTTTCCTAAGAGCTTCAGAAAGATACCAACAATGTATCTTTCCTCCTTTCTGCTAAATGGCCTTAATCACCTTGGTACCCCCACCCCCATGTGGTTGAGCTGCAAGGGCAGCTGTCCCACAGGACGTCTTCACAAGTTCACCGAGGTCCCGGGAGCTCTCAGACCCCAAATGCTGACAGACCAGAGATTTAGGTAATTCGTGAACTGGTGTTTTGTCCCTGTATAGTTCTATTAATGCCCAATTGTCATTGTGGGCAGAACTCAATTGTGTGCTTATATTCTAGAAGCTTTTATTTGTTTAAAACTTTTATTTCTGTGCTTTTATAGCCAATAAATAAAATGTAGAACTCAGAGAAGGCTTCCTTTATTAAAGAAATTGCCAACCAGCCACATTTGACCACAGCCCTATTGAAAGGGAGGAGTCGCACTAGGACAGGGAGCTTTGCCACAAAAGACAGGTAGTGACAAATGCAGAACATGGTTCCATGCAGGCTGCCACCGCCCTCACGCCTTAAGGAGCACTCCTCGCCCTCTGTCCAGTGGCTTGTGTTTAGGGTTCCTCAGTTCTCCAGAAATGGCCAGGCGAAGTGGAACCTCGAATGACTCTGGTGGTGGCCGAATTGACTTGAGTTTTCCCACTATATAGATGTCCCAAGCAGCTCACCTGTTCCTATCCAGCAAATTCTGGACACTATATTTTATCATCTTTCTAATCTTGTTAAAATCAACCATATTATTAGTAAAATTGTTTTGTTTGTTTGTTTTTAATGAACCAAAGTCTTTGCCCCTCTCAGTCAGGTTCAGTTAAACCATCTGTTACGGAACACAATTCCAAATACAGCGTGTGCGCTCTGTTACTGAGTCAGCCTCTGGGGCAGGCTTACACTCCAGGACGCTTTCACTCTAAGTCTACATTCAGGAAAGCGTGTACTGTGTACCTCACATCTTCTCCCCAGTAGTAGTCAGGAAAAAATGGCAGATTTTAGTATAGATTTTCTGGTAATGTTGGGGAGGGTAAGAGGGTTTAAATGCTGTGCCATTAAACATAGGCTTTTTATCTTTAGGTTGCATCTGATGCCAGAAGGCAAACACAACCTCCATTTACGTTTTGCAAATGAATTCAACAAGTTAGTAGAAGACTTCTTACAGTGAAAGTGTGCCTCTGCACCCACCCCAGGCACATCTCCCTGCACCTGCCCTCCGGTTCCAGCTCCTCCCTCCACTACTTCTCAACATTAAGTTGTAAATTTCTGACATTGACAAAATAAATTCCTGTCATGATTTACTTTATTTGCCAATAAATCTTAGATGAGCGTTTGTAGTGCTCCTGATGGCTATTTTAGGGCACCTTGAACTCGTGCTGTACTTTTTTATCTGAGAGGTACTAGGGTTCACTAGTCTTTTTAGTTGTATTATCACTTTGTGAAAAGGAAGTACATAGAAGAAAAGTCCTTGCCTAAAGTCCCAGATTCTACATTTCACAGGGTTGCTCTAACTCCAACAAAGGAAAGAAAGTCTACCCTCAAATTCCCCATTCACTCCCTTACCTTTACTGGATTCCTTTACTTTAATAATTTGAACCAGTGAAGATGGAAAAATATTTCTTTTTATCTCTTTATTAAAAGAACTATTACTTAAAACATTAAATACAAATTCTGTTTTGTTAAAATTGCTAAACCCAAAAACAGTCAAGAAGAATGTAGTGAAAAGAATAAAAATAAGCCACAAGATTTTGGACACATGCGTTTTAATTAGTGTAGTATATATCTTAATATTTAGAGGAATTCCACATGATTATATCAACAGTGTGAATTTCTGACAGAGGCAAAACTGAGCACCATAGATACAAATAGAAAGACCATGCTTCATTGAGGACAACAGAAATTCACTGAGGCGCACGGTATCTTTGACAAGTTCTTAAGCCTCTTCCTCCACTTCCTCCTCCTCGAACTCGCCCTGCTCATCAGCAGTGGCGTCCTGGTACTGCTGGTACTCGGACACCAGGTCGTTCATGTTGCTCTCGGCCTCGGTGAACTCCATCTCGTCCATGCCCTCGCCCGTGTACCAGTGCAGGAAGGCCTTGCGCCGGAACATGGCCGTGAACTGCTCGGAGATGCGCTTGAACAGCTCCTGGATGGCCGTGCTGTTGCCGATGAAGGTGGCCGACATCTTGAGGCCCCGCGGCGGGATGTCGCACACGGCCGTCTTCACGTTGTTGGGGATCCACTCCACGAAGTAGCTGCTGTTCTTGTTCTGCACGTTGAGCATCTGCTCGTCCACCTCCTTCATGGACATGCGGCCGCGGAAGATGGCGGCCACCGTCAGGTAGCGGCCGTGGCGCGGGTCGCACGCGGCCATCATGTTCTTGGAGTCGAACATCTGCTGCGTGAGCTCGGGCACCGTGAGCGCGCGGTACTGCTGGCTGCCGCGGCTGGTGAGCGGCGCGAAGCCGGGCATGAAGAAGTGCAGGCGCGGGAAGGGCACCATGTTCACCGCCAGCTTGCGCAGGTCGGCGTTCAGCTGGCCCGGGAAGCGCAGGCAGGTGGTGACCCCGCTCATGGTGGCGGACACCAGGTGGTTGAGGTCGCCGTAGGTGGGCGTGGTCAGCTTCAGGGTGCGGAAGCAGATGTCGTACAGGGCCTCGTTGTCGATGCAGTAGGTCTCGTCCGTGTTCTCCACCAGCTGGTGCACGGACAGCGTGGCGTTGTAGGGCTCCACCACCGTGTCCGACACCTTGGGCGAGGGCATCACGCTGAAGGTGTTCATGATGCGGTCCGGGTACTCCTCCCGGATCTTGCTGATGAGCAGCGTGCCCATCCCCGACCCCGTGCCGCCCCCCAGCGAGTGCGTCAGCTGGAAGCCCTGCAGACAGTCACAGCTCTCTGACTCCTTCCTCACCACGTCCAGGACCGAGTCCACTAGCTCTGCGCCCTCCGTGTAGTGGCCCTTGGCCCAGTTGTTGCCGGCCCCGCTCTGGCCTGCCAGAGAGAAAGGAGACTATTAGGGAACCATAAGGAACTCGGAGCTCTGCCATTTTGACTCTGCACTAGGTGCCTTTTTATACCTATTGAAAATTTCTCTATACCAGTGACCTTGAAAAACACTGGAGGTCATAATAAATGAGGTTAATTCAAACGAGGTTATTAGTTGAAAAAAACTATTTCTTAAGGACAGAGAACTTAAGAATGACAACATCACATAAGGCACTGGCCAGTTGGCTCACTTGGTTGGAACTTTGTCCCTTACACCCTGTCAGGGCACACACCTAGATTTTGGGTTCAATCCCTTGTTGGGGGCACATATGGGAGGCAATGGGTTGGTGTTTCTCACATCGATGTTTCTCTCTCAAATCAATAAAAACATTATCCTCAGATGAGGATAAAAAAAAATAAAATAAATAAAAAGCTTAGCTAGACTAACATGGTTCAGTGGTTGAGTATCAACCTATGAGCTAGAAGGCCATAGTTCAATTCTGGGTCAGGGCACATGCCCATTTAGGGCTCAATCCCCAGTGTGGGGTGTGTTAAGAGGCAGCCAATCAATGATTTTGTCTCATTATTTACATATTTCTCTCTCTCCCTCTCTTTCTCTCTGAAATCAATAAAAATATATTCAAAAACAAAATACTTAGAGCCCTGGATACCCAACAGTGGACAATCAATTGTGGGGTGGGATATGGCCCCCAGGGTGACTTTTTCTCTAGCATATCTATGGTCAGGGGGTTTGGGAACCCTGGTTTTTCCTCCCTGAAGATATCATCTAGGCCACATGTGTCAAACACAAGGCCCGCGGGCCAAATCCGTCCCGCCAGGCCTTGCAATGTGGCCCGCACCGCGCTGTCATCACTGCACTCCGCTGCGTTTCCATCACAATGACAGTTTATGACTGTTCAGTAAACCATTCGGCCCGTGATTTAGGCTGGATTTTAGATTTTGGCCCCTTCTCTGATTGAGTTCGACACCCCTAATCTAGGCCTTAGTTGTATTTAAACTCCAGGACCAGGTAAGCAACCAATCCAGCCACAGCTGACCTCAGGACCTGCTGCATTAAATAATGCCCCCCTGCCTAGGCCCACCAGTCAAATCAGTGGAAACCACAACCCTAAAAGGACACACCTGGGAAGCTGCTGAATATTCTATTGAGATCTTCCCTTGGGACTTCTCCTAAAATCCTTACCCTTAAAACCCTTAGGATGGAGGACCCAGTGTGCAGTCCCTCAAGGGTGTGCATCCTGCCCTTTCTTTCCCTTTCCTTCCCCGTCCCGCCTCCAGGCACTTTACCATCAGAGTCCTCACTTCCAAGCACTAAGGGCTCTTCCTTTACCTGAATAACTTGTTTCCTAAGCCAATTCCTTCTGGAAATTACTTTTAATACCTTTGTAAGTTATCTAATAAATGCTCCCTTACTCTCCCCACCCCCCAAAAATAAAAACAACTCTTATATTAGACCCCATTAGGCAAGAGCGAAGGCACATGAGATCAGAGGAGAACACAGGCTCCTATGCCTTTGCTTCTTGGAGTGGCCACCTACTATGACGGGCCTTCTGAGCTTGCCTAGTAACTCCCACTGGAACTTGTTCATCACCCTTCATCCCTTTCCTTTCATAGGCTGCTCTGTGGTTCGAAGACTACCTACCAGCCCCTGCAGGCTGACAGTGCTCTTGGAGCTGTCTGGACAGTCACGGCCTGGGGACTGGGTGCAATGAGGCCACGACTCAGGGCCGTCTGTGGACACAGTGTCCACCTTGGCACCCAACACAAAACACTCTGATCTCCACAGTGTTTATGAAGAACACTCACTGAGCCAGTTCCCACTGATCTTGACAACATACCAAACACGAAGTTGTCCGGCCTGAAGATCTGGCCGAATGGTCCAGACCTGACTGAGTCCATCGTGCCCGGCTCCAGGTCCACCAGGATGGCCCGAGGCACGTACTTGTTACCTGTGGGGGGAAGAGCTGGACTTAGATCTGTGATGGCAAAGGAATCAGACAAGGTGGTGCTCTCTGCGCCTCTCACAGCAGAGTTCACTAGAGCTCATTCCAGCGGGTGACACAAAAGGATAAGAACAGGGGAGCACTGCTGCTTCATAAGGAGCTAATGAGCAAGCGTGGCCATGGCAAGCATGCAGGAGGCTTAAGAAACGGTAGGTAGCACATGTGTTAGCAGCTGACATTTTAAATGAATGCAAGAAGCATTCCTCTGCCATTTATTTGTATGTTCCCACTACATTGCATGTGCCCCAGTATGGGAAGCAAGGTTGAAAGAAAAGCAAAAAACATTCAAATAATCACCAGCAGCTTCGTTGTAGTACACATTGATTCTCTCCAGCTGCAACTCGCTGTCTCCATGGTAACTGCCAGTGGGGTCGATCCCATGCTCATCACTGATGACCTCCCAAAACTGGAAATTTAAAATTTTAAAACATCACATGAAGGCCTGGCCTCCTAAACATCAGCAAGAACAGCTCTTTTCTTCTCTGGTGCCCTTGGAGCAGCGGCCATGGTGGTCAGACGGCCAAGGAGATCCAGACAGCCCAGGTAGCTGTGCACCCCTGTGCCTCAGGCAGAGGCTGCTGAGGGGCTTGGCAACTGGCAGAGCCTGGGCCATGTGATGGCGATAGACTGAGGAGCTGGGAGGGGCCTGAGGAGGAGGGTGGGCACAGCAGGTCTTCTGGAGGAACTGTGGATGCTGGGGAGGCTGGCAGCCCCAGGCAGGGCTAAGGTGCCAGTGTCCAGGCTGATGTATGGGGTCTTACAAGATCCAAACCCAATTGGGTTCCACCCTGTGGCTGCGTTGGGAGTCATTGTCTCCTGGCACCAGCCCCACCCAGCCCTCCAAGTGTGCAGTTTTATGCCCCTGGCATCCATACTGGCCTCTGGCCACTGAGCACACGGGGGATGGGTGGAGTGGTGAAGGGAGGAGCCTGGAAGCAGGACTGGGGCAGTGAGTGTAGCAGATCCCTGGTGAGGGCGCAGATTCCATTGTGAACTGGCAGCATGAAGAGCGGCCTCGTGGGTCGGGAGCGGATGGCTGCCTGGGTCGGAAGCCCTTGGTGCTGGGTCTGGGCTCCCTCAGCGGACCAGGGAGACCCGTGGGCACGACGACCAGGGAAGACCAGCCGGCGCGCAGGGCCCTGGCACTGGGGAGGCTGGGTGGGAACATGGCGGTTCCGACAGAGACCAGTCCTCCCTCAGATGCCGCCCACACCCCCGCACCACGCTGCTCCGGCCTCGCCCACTGCAGCCCCAATATCTGCCGCCTGGAAGCCAGGAAGCCAGATTGGCATATATTACCATGCAGATGGTGCTTGGATTGGGGAAATGACCTAACCTTGCATCTCTGTATCCCAACAAGTAGTCTGCATAACATCTGTCACCTCAATGACAGTGCAAATTTTTCATTCAAACTATAGACAAAAATATCCCATTAAATCCCAGCCTCTGGATGGATACGGTCGCAGCCTCTATCCAAATTTCAGAGACTAATACACCCAGAGAAATGCCAGCTACACGCAGCTTACGGTCGGTTTTGAGGAGATCGCAAAGGGCCTTGATTAAAGGCTCTCACAGCTGCGTCACCGCGATCGCAGCAGGTGATGGGGCTTCCGGAGCCGCGGGCGGCCGCCCTGGAAACGCGCCCCTTGTCCTGCGGCGGGCGCTCCGGAGACCCACTGCCACCCCGGCCCGCATCCCGGGGACCCGCCGCCACTCCGGGCCCAGGCCGCTCCCTCGGGACCCGCTGCCACCCACGGGGTCCGCCGCCCTCCAGATCCCTCTCCGGGGACGCGCCCACCTTGGCGCCGATCTGGTTGCCGCACTGGCCCGCCTGGATGTGCACGATCTCGCGCATGGTGCCGGCTGCGGAGCGGTGGAGGCGCTGGACCTCGGGACTGCGAGCGCGGCGGCGGAGGACTGGAACCCTGAAACCCTGAAACCTGCGGGTGCGCCGGGGCTCCGCCTTTTATGCCCACGGCCCCGCCCGGCCGGCGCTGACGTGCGGAGGGCGGAACGGCGGGGGCGGCGCCCGGGACTGCGGCGCCGCGAGGGGGAGCCGGGGCGCGGCGCGAGGTGCCGGGCCGGCTGGCAGTCGCGCCCACCGGGTCCCCGGAGGGAACCGAGACCCGGCACCCCAGGGCCTCCCACCCAGCCAGCCGCCCTCTCCCGATCCATGGTGCTGCCACACTGGTTATTCCGGAAAGCCGAACCCCCCCCCCCCGCCCCCAGCCCACCCCGCCCCTCTGGTCCCTGAGCGACGCTGGAGACCTGGGCCCTGGGACCCGGAGGAGAGGCCGCCTCCAAACAGGGTCCTTGCCTCCCGGGCGGGGGAGGGCGAGAGACACCCAGCACCCTTTTGGATTGGGGAGCCCAGAATTTCCAGTGCAGTCTACAGGGGCTCGCTGAGGTTTCCTGCGTCCTGAGCCTCGTTTTCTTTCTATTCCGGTGGTGGTGGTGGTGGTGGTGGTGGTGGTGATGAGGGGGTGTGTGTGGGGGGGGGGGGAGAGGGGGGGAGGTCTGCGGTGATTATGAACTCAGGGGGACCTGCAAGTGGGGAGGAGTGGGTGTTGTCTGGTAAGAACTATGGGCAGGCAGCTGGCTTCAAGGAAAACAATGAGGGAGGTGGGCGGCCCCCCTTCTGCGTGTAGGGAAAATAGTCGGTTTGGGAGGGGCTAGGAAAAAGGACAAGGCGCTGGATTTGTCGGCTTTGGGTCTTGGATCCTTGTAAAGGCCACTTAAATGTGGAAAATTATGCGAGCAAGCGTGTGTGGCAGAGAGAGAGGGAAGGGGATGAATGTGACTGGAATAGCCATGCTTCAGCCAAAGTAGGAGTGCCTTACATACACGGTGTCACTCATCCTCACATCAAAATCTTACAGATCTGGGCAGCCCAGCCCCGGCGCCACCAGCCTTGGGTGAACGTAGAACAGGTGAAACATGGATAGTCTGAACTGATATGTGCTTTCCGTGTAAAATACTCAGAGGATCCCATGGATTCCATAAGTTAAAATTCCATTACTGATTTTGTATATTAATTACATATCAACATATTTGGGATATATTTTGAAATTAATTTCACTTGTTTCTGTTAACTTTTTTTTTAAATATATTTTATTGATTTTTTACAGAGAGGAAGGGAGAGAGATAGAGAGCTAGAAACGTCGATGAGAGAGAAACATCGACCAGCTGCCTCCTGCACACTCCCACCAGGGATGTGCCCGCAACCAATGTACATGCCCTTGACCGGAATCGAACCTGGGACCCTTCAGTCCGCAGACCGACGCTCTACCACTGAGCCAAACCGGCTTCGGCTCTGTTAACTTTTTAAATAACTTCTAGACTAGCAGTGATTACTAGAAAAATTTAAGTGACCTATGTGGTTTACATTGTATTTCTATTCAACAGCACTATTCTGGAGCAAACAGTATTCCTATCCCGATGCTATAGCTCAGGAAGGAGGCTGAAAGAGCTGAGTAGCCACAAAGCTAGTAAATGAAGCCACCCAGACTCCTTCTACAAAGAAGTCCCCGGCGAGTGTTAAAGGTTTGGTTAGGGTGAGGTGTGGCACAACCTTAATTCTTCTCGGAGATGATCTTAGCAGTGGGCCAGGTGAGCAGGGACCTGGGACTGCTTTTGTTTCTCAGCACATCCTTCTTTTCCTCTCTGGGCCAGTTCCGCCAACTATAATATAAAATGTTGATAATTATAGGAACCCTGAAGCCAGCTTTATGAGCAGGAAATGAGCAACTCTAGGAAAGCCGGTTAAGTTTCTGGAGCAAAAATATCCCATAAAACCCGAGGTGATGCTGTCATAAATACTAAGCCTATTTGTCATGTTATTAGTGAGCATATATCTGAGGTGCGTGGGCAAAATCATGGCTTTGATAACTGCTTTAGGAAGCTGGTCTTTCAGGGTGCCCCCACCACACAGGCAGGCACCCGGGGCCTCCTCTCAGGGTGGGAGGGGTTTCCTAGACTTTCTCCTCTTCCCCCTCCCCACATGGCTGCCTTCCCCCACCCCAAGAGCCAATCCCACAAGTGCTGTTCCCAGGTTCCTAGGGTTGGTCCTCCACCTGCTCTCCACTTTATCGCCAACTCACAGGGCTTGGGCTCTTCATGGCCAGCTGGAGTCTTCCAGAGCCTCTCCAGAGAAGGGCCTGCTCGATTACACAGTTCCACAAAACCTTCCTGGAGATAATTGCCTCTTAGCCTTTGTTGTTTCAGCCATGGTATGCCAATGGGAAGAGATGATAAGACCAGGAAGGGATGCTCTGTCATGTGGGCATCTCTCTACCTGTGGAGGTAGATCACCCTGTGGAGTGTGCCCACTTGGCTGCATTCTGATTGGGTTGTTAAGCAAGTCACCTAACCTCTCAGAGCCTCTCTTACTGGTCTGAAATTTGGAAATCTATTGTATTATGTTGTGAAGATGAGAGACAGTGTCTGTGAACTGGACCTTTTGTGCACCTGCAGTCAATAAATAAGTGACATTTCTCACAGCAGGGCCTCTGTGGGTTGCTGGCAGCCAATGTTCTTCCCAAGGCTGCCTCCTCCTGCCCCAGCCTTCTTACTTGTTTGTCCATGCCTCCTCCAACACCTGCCCTGATGTCAGAGAACTGTGGTAGGCAGTTAGACCTGAGCAGAGCAAGGATGATGGGCCAGGTACAGAAGGTCACCAAGGCAAATTTGGGAAAACAAGGACCTCACCCCCAAGGTAACCTTTCCTCCCCTAGCATATCACGTAACCTCTCTATGTTCCAAGTGTCTCATCTGTCATGTAGTTTGGACCCCCTGACCTTTCATCTCGCTGGTTATGAGGTTTGGACCCTCCCCTGGCATGTTGCTACAGTGGTAGTCCCCATTCAGAGGAGAAACAAGGGCCTAAGAGTGGCCTCATTCAACTCCCATACAGGCCTTTGCTCCCTTCAGCATTAACCCCCAGGGATAACATCTAGGTCTCAGTTGTTTCAGCTCCAGGCCCAGAAAAGTAGCAAAACAAAGACAAGTGATGTAGTAGTTGAGATCAGGACCAGCTGCATCTAATGACCCTGCCCTGGGGCCCACCAATCAGCAGCGACCATGAACCTGACAGAACACACCTGGGAAGCTGATGAACATTCTATTGGGATCCTCCCCTGAGACCTCCAGGTAAATATCCTCAACACGGTGGCCCAGTGCCCGCTCCCTCCCTGTAGCACACCTTCCCCAGGTGCTTTATCTTTGCCTTTCTCTTTCCTAAACTCCAAGGGCCCATCTTTGGCCTCTGTAATTTGTTTCCTGAGCTCACACCCACCTAGCTCACTTTTCCTACCTCTGTAACTTTCTAAATAAACTTGCTCTTATAATTTGAGTCTTGTATCTGAATTATTTCTTAGCCAGAACACAAGAACTGAGATCTCTGAAATCAGGTCCAGTCACCAGTGACATTCTGGTGCTGTTTTACTACCAACAGAAGCACACACGCAGCTTTTTATTTTTAATTTCTATTTATTTATTAATATATTTTAGTGATTTGATTTTTTTTTTTCTTTACAGAAAGGAAGGGAGAGGGATAGAGAGATAGAAACATCAGTGAGAGAGAAACATTGATCAGCTGCCTCCTGCACACTCCCCACTGGGTATGTACCTGTAACCAAGGCACATGCCCTTGACTGGAATCAAACCTGGGACCCTTGAGTCCGCAGGCTGATGCTCTATTCACTGAGCCAAACCAACCAGGGCACACAGCAGGTTTTTACAGAATGCCTGCCCACCCTGAGCTGGCTCATCTGAGGGCTGGGCTCCTGCTCCCCTCCACCTGCGGGCAGGCCAACCACCAGGCCATGCCGCCACAGTGCTATCCTGCACAGCACAAACAGATAAGAGCAGGAAATGGAGCCGACCCATGCCCTGACCAGAATCAAACCATGGCCTCCTGGTTCATACGTTGACACTCAACCATTGAGCCACATAGGCCGGCTGTTTGTTTCCTTTTAACATAAGTTCTGTTATTTTTGCCTTCAACATTAAGAATGTAAAAATACTATATTTTATTACACCATGATTTAAATCAGACATGATCTTCAAACTCTCAGATACATTCAATCTTCTCTGAATGCTCTTTTCCTATAACCTGTGGTGTCTGGGCCATATCAGTTCTCAGGGCATACTTACTGTCCCTGTTTCACTGGCCAAGGCTGTTCACGTTACTGGACTAAATCACCCCCCATTCAGCCCACTCCACGTTCCCACAGGCCCTGGATGGAGTTGGTGCAAATCTTGAATATGCCACTTACTAGCGATGTGACCCAGGGCAAGGTACTTAACCTCTCTGTGCTCCAATTGCCTCATCTGTAACGGAATAACAATAGTAACTGCCTCCTGAGGTTGTTCCAAGTATTGAGTGAATATTTGAAAGAAAGCACTTGAGCCATGTGCTATAAATTTTAGCTGTTAAAATTTGCCTTACTATTTTCTTGCTTCCTTCCTGCTCTCCCTTCTCCCCACCCCTTCCCCAGTCTTTCCCTTCTTCCCCCACTTCAGGAGCTCTTCCCCTTGAAGCAGGACTCAGCTCTAAAGTCATTTCCTCTAGGATGCTCCCTCCTTTGTGCCCATAATAGTGTGTACACACCTCAGTATATTGACTCTGGCCCCTGGTCCATGAGGTTGTCCACAGCAAGGAAACAAACAAGCAGCACAACTCGCAGTGTTCTTTCTCTCACCTAAACCCCAAGGGTGTGTAAGTCAATAGGGGTCCCCGCCTTGAGGATGGTTCTGAGTCCCAGGACCCCCAAGGCTGGTACAGGACTGGACTAGCGCCTGGAGGAGCCTATTCCCTTCACTTTCCTGTGCCCTGATCCCTCCCATCTATTTTCTGAATACAGGCCCTTTTCACGCTGAAATCCGAGCTGCCAAAGCACTTGGGTGGGGCCACCACGCTCACTTCCTGGGGCCAAGCTGAGGGCAG